CATCCATTCAAAAAGTGTCCACAGTTGGATGGATGGACACACACGTGGATGGATGGATGGATGGATAATTTTGGGGACTTATGACCGCTAGCCGGAATGATGACAAAACGGCATCCGACTACAAGGTTCAAAGTGGTTCGGTTCTCCATTTGATGCCAAATGAGGCAGCATTGCGTGAGCAAAAGGCATTGAGTTTATTATCGAAAGCGGGAAAGGCATTCTGTGACGCAGCCGATTTGCACTCGAAGACTGGCAGCCGTCATAATGCCGCGACCAATTATGTGGATGCATCAAATTGCTACAAGAAAACTGATGTACAAGAAGCCATCAACTGCTTATCGAAAGCCATTGAAATCTACACGGATATGGGCCGTTTTACCATGGCCGCCAAATATCAGCAAACCATTGCTGAACTGTGTGGAGGTGGTGATTTGGTAAGAATGAAATTTATGACATTTGCTTGAAAAACCAAAGCTGAAATTGTATTATTCTTTGCATTGGTAATCATCCTTCTCTCTCTTTTTATAGTCCCGTGTTGGCCACCACTTCAAAAAGGATGTGAAAAGCAAAGAATCCACCATGAAATCATTTGATCCGTCGATAGAAACACAAAAACGAACAGCATTTATTAAGAATATATACCAGCTGTTCACATTGGATACGTTCAGGAAATTTATTTCCAATCAGTGTAGAATAGAGAATCCAACCGTGTTTTCGTTGTCTCAGTGTGTGCCATTATCGGCTTTTGTGATTTTTGAAATGGCAACCGAAATGGTTGAAGCAATCAGCGTGTTAGATGGTGCTGTATGGAGTGGTCGACGAATAAATGTACTGCCATATGGTGGAAAAGAAGAAAAGATTTTTGCCGAAAACAGTAAGCGACATGACTTCGAGCCCACTAAAGACCAGGTATCTCGCTCACTTGTAATCTCAAAATTGCCTCATCCATACGATTTTGCCGAACTGCGTGAAATACTCATTCAACCTAAAAAGGGGGGTGATTATTACGATTTAAAATTCGTAAAGACCTTGGGTCGTGACAAACTAGCGATCATTTTTGTAATTTACCACACGACCGAAGACGCTGATGCTGCTTTGACAGTTAGCAAATTTGATCCTAAGAAGAAAGAGAAGCAACTCGAATATCAGAAAAACGTCGAAAAACATGCTCGTCAACAAGACAGCATTAAAAATGTGACAGTAACATCTGTGAAGAGCCATTGCGAAATTTCAATTCGATTCGATAAATTCGATCAAGGTGATAAACTATTCAAGATCACGAATATGGCAAATTGTGCTCCAGAATATCATTCATACATCCAATCATATTTAACGTCTGAAATGCTTGCACAAAGCATGGCCAAAATAAAAATTTTGCGCCTAACCCACTTCCAGAACACTTCACTCTTCATATTATGTATATAAGTATACTTCGGTATACACCGCTGGTATAGTATATTGATGTCTACTGATTTGCAACACTGGGCATTACATTGCGTGTGTATTGTGTAATGTTAGAAAATTATATTGATAATGTTAGAATTCTAACATTACCGTTAATGTTAGGTAACATGTTAATATTGTAACAGACGGATCAAGTAATAGCTATTACAATTCTATTCGTGAGACGTAAAAGAACGTATGTTTTTTTGTCGATTTATATTTTTGAAAAGGAAAGTATGTTTTCTGTTGATTCTATCTGCGTTAAAAGGAAGTATGTTGGCATCCCGTCTAGCCTCCGCGGTTTTTCACGGTTTACGCGGAACTGATAGAAGATAACAACTTAGTGTCTTCGACAAAGTTGTAGTACTCGAGGTTTTCTATAACATTGCTGAAGACATCTATCTCTTATCTCCTATCAGTTGCGCGCAAATCGCGCACATAAAAAAGCAAATTTTATATAGAACTTTTTTTTTCTTTTCATCTTTCGCGCTTTTCGCGGAACTGATAAGAGATAAGAGATAACTGACTCCAGCAATGTTATAGAAGACCTCGAGTACTACAACTTTGCAGAAGACACCATGTTGTTATCTCTTATCAGTTCCGCGGAAACCGTGAAAAACCGCGAGGACCCGCTAAAAACGAACATACATTCTTTTAACCATTTTTAGTTGCAATGAAACATACTTCTCTTTATTGCTACGAAGTTGGACCAACTTGAGTTCTTTTACGTCTCACCAATAGAATTGTAATGCCAAAATTTGGCATTACCGGTAATAGCTATTACAATTGTAATAACATTACAGGAAATTTTTGTTAACGTAATACTACTATCAACTACATTTTTAATGCCGGTAAATCTGTGTCTCATAGCCCGCATAAAAAGTTCATTAGACAAAACACAAATTCACACAAACACGAAACAAAACGCAGAGCAAACGAATTGTTCTCGGTAACGGTTAAATGAGACGGTCGATAAAGCTTGATGTTATATTGCCTTCGTCCAGATTATTGCGTTCGGACCTCTTTTAATGTAGTAGTATTCATACGCGTCGAGTCGTCGTTCGTCGTTCGTCGTTCACTTGTTGTTCTAACGATACATTTTCAATGCCGATGTTTGTGTGGTCATTTACTAATGCATGCAAAGCAACAGCTGACTTGTTAGGCATATTATTATGAACACACTTTGAGTGTTCAGTGTTCACCGAATCGCACAATCACCGCTCTCTTCGTTTGTCCATGATATGAACGTGTTGAAAACAGTGTTACCACAGCTATAATATTATTGTGTCAAATCAACTGTATCAACTTCATGTTGAATTCTCATTCCAATCAGTTCACTACAAACCATGCAATAAACCACACGCTTAACAGCGCATACTAAATCGTCTGTCTTTTCTTATTTCGCCATCGCTATACACAATCATTCTCAAGTGGTTATGGGCCCAGCAGAGCGAAAGAGATAGAAATCGAAGTACAACGGAGTCGAGAAGAAACGTGAAATTTTTTTTTTGTTAGTCGCATAATTTTTTGGACAGTAATAGGCTCAAGGTAAATTGGCCGGTAAAAGTAAAAAAGAATTTCGGAATACGTTTCGTTGAAAAAGAAAAAAGGACAAGTTTTTTTTTGGTAGAAATTTGGGTGACGATTGTTTGGAAAGTTTATTGCGCAGCATTGTGAAACTCAAAGAATTCGAAATGAACGACATTAAAATATGGAAATTGTCGGAGTCAAAGGATTGGACTTTGTGGAAAATGCAAGTAAAAGTAGTTTTGAGATCGATGGAAGTTTTCGGTGTTGTCGATAATTCGGAAAAAGAGCCAGTATTAAAAGCAAATCCAACAACAACTGAAACTACGGATTTTAATACCGCTCACGCAGCTTGGGTGAAGAAAGATTTGAAGGCTCAAAGTGTTATTTTAACAAGCATTGAAAAACAGCCGTCGACTCACATCGTTAACTGTAAAACGGCAAGTGAAATGTGGAACAAATTGCTCGTTGTGTTCGAACAAAAGTCATCGACAAGCATCGATTTACTCTACGAAAAGTTTTTTGCATTGACAAAGGAGCCGACGGATGATATGGCTAGTTTTATTTCGAAAATGGAAGAAATTGCTCAGCATTTGAATGATTTAGGAGAAAAAATTCCGGAGCGAATGGTCATGACAAGAATCGTTAAAAAGTTGCCGTCGATGTATAATCATTTTCATAGTGCATGGGAATCGACGTCCGAAGAGAAAAAGACACTCATTGAATTGCGAAACCGTTTGATGACCGAAAAGAAACGTCTCGAATCAAATGATGAGACAGCAGACAATGCATTTTTCGCCAGAAACGCCGGTAGTCGAAAAAGGTCAAAAGAGTCAAATCTGAAAAAAGTACGTCGTTGTTTCATTTGTGGTGACTCAACACATTTGAAAAAAGACTGTGTGCGTCGAAACAAAACCAAAGACAATTCGTCGAATGCATTGGTGTGTGAAGCACTCGTTTCTGTGAGTGAAAGCGACGCATGATATAACGACTCAGGGGCGACAGAGCACATGTCAAATCAGTTTGAGTGGTTTTATGATTATACGCCGTTAGCGGAGCATCGACCAGTTAAGTTGGGCAACAGACAGTATGTGTTTGGAGTTGGTGTCGGCAAAATCAATGTTGAAGTGTTCAACGGAAATAAATGGAGTGAAAAACATTTATCCGAAGTGTTGTTTGTGCCAAAATTGCATATGAATTTATTTTCGCAAGGCAGCTGTTGTGACAAAGGCTACGAATATGTTGCAAATTCAAATGAATGTCGTTTTCAAAGAGACGGCAATGTGATTGCAATGGGTGTGCGACAGAGTACACTATATAAAATGCTCATCAAAGTCAAAGCAGCATCGGTCGCGTGTGCATCAGTAGTGGTAAGCGGAGAGAGCATACAAGTGTGGCACGAACGATTGGCACATCAGCACGTCGCGCATGTACGACGTTTTCTCAAACGAAATGGCACTGATTTCATCGACGATCCAAATTTTCAGTGTGTTTCATGTGTGTTGGGCAAGCATCATCGGTTGCCGTTCAAAGGTCGAAACCAAACAACAAATAAGTGCGGGGAATTAATACACACAGATTTATGTGGTCCGTTTGAGGTAAATTCACTCGGTGGCGCACGGTACATGTTGGTGTTGAAAGACGATTACTCACACATGCGATTTTTGTACTTCTTGAAAGCAAAGTCAGAAGTGTCATCGAAAATAAAAACATTCGTGGAATTAGTGCATAATCAAACGAAGCATAAAATATTGAGATTTAGATCGAACCAAGGAACCGAGTTCAATAATATCGAGTTAAAAACATTTTTTGCGGAAAATGGAATCGTGTATCAACGCACAGTGGCTTACACACCGGAGCAGAATGGCTCGGTTGAACGTGAAAATAGAACAATTGTCGAAGCATTGCGTACAATGCTACATGCACGTAGTTTGAATAAAATGTTGTGAGCTGAAGCGGCAAATACCGCTGTGTATGTGATAAATCGCACAGGAACAAGTTCAGTGCCAAACAAAACGCCGTGTGAAATGTGGTTCGGTAAACAATTGGACTTTGGAAATTTCAAATCGTTCGGATCGGTGGTGTATGTTCACGTTCCAAAGCAAAAGCGGCACAAATTGGACGAAAAAGCCGAAAAATGTTTGTTTGTTGGTTACGGTGAAAATATAAAGGGATATCGCGTTTACAATCCCAGCAAAAGAACAGTAACAACAGTTCACGATATTATTTTTGATAAAAATGATTCTAAAAACGATAACACGGATAAAAATGTGTGTGAATACGGCAATGAAGACAATGACAATAAAGTGATTGTGCGTATAAGTTTTGATGAAGAAGAGGAGAATCTGCGTTCGGGAAATGCGATAAATGAGAACGACGACTCGATAAACAATGAATCATTGGATGAAACAGTGATCAACGACAACGATACGAGCTATGCATCGGAAAGTGACATTAGTGTTTCATCAACGGGTAGCTTGGGCAACGAAACTGAAATTGAAGTTTTTCCATTGAGATCGAATAATTTTTGTGACGTTCAAGCATCGAATGTTGTTGATTCGCGTACACGTTCAGGTGCAAACATCGCAAGTTGTGCATTTTTGGCATCAACTTCGGAGCCTACGACTTACAATGAAGCCGTAAACGACGAAAGAAGTGAGGAATAGGTTCAAGCAATGAACGAGGAGTATGATTCGTTGATTAAAAATCGAACGTGGGAGATGACAAATCTTCCAAAGGGACAGCGTGCAGTTGATAATCGCTGGGTATTTCGCATCAAACGAAATCAAAACAACGCAGTCGACCGTTATAAAGCGCGTTTGGTGGCGCGTGGCTTCACACAGTGTTATGGAATCGATTACACTGAAACATTTAGCCCAGTGGTGAAATTTGCTTCAGTACGAACACTATTGGCAATTGCTGCCGAGAGAGGAATGTTTATGAAACAATTCGATGTCAAAACAGCCTTTCTGTACGGCGATTTGACAGAGGAGGTGTATATGCGGCAGCCAATCGGTTTTGAAGATGGCACAAATCGAGTGTGTAGGCTGACGAAGAGCCTATACGGTTTGAAGCAAGCGCCACGGTGTTGGAATGCAAAGTTTAAAAAGTTCATCACCGACTTCGAATTTAAAGAAAGTGAGGCGGACGCATGTGTTTACATTCGAAAAAGTGGCAACGATACAACATATTTGGCCATTTTTGTCGACGATGGTATTATCATTTCCACGAGCGAGTCATGCATACAGCCAGTCATCGGGTATTTACAAACACATTTCGAAATTAAAGTGTTTAATGCCAACTACTTTCTTGGACTCTAAATAAATCGAATGTCGGATGGATCGATACATTTGAGTCAACCATCATACACCAACCGGGTGTTGAACAAGTTTGGCTTCGAAGACTCACATCCTGTGGCAACACCGGTGAATCATCAGCAAGTGTTGGAGGCAGCAGAGGAGACATCGAACGTGAAGTTACCGTATCGACAAGTGGTTGGATCTCTGATTTATCTGGCAATTGGGACTCGACCAGATATCAGTTTTGCTGTTGGTTACGTCAGCCCGTCAGCCGATTCATGGAACAACCCACAAATGCTCATATGACAGCAGTGAAACGGATACTGAAATACTTGAAAGGAACCAGCAACTATGGTATATTGTTTTCAAGTGAAAATGCTAACAATTTGAAGTTTTCTATTTACAGTGATGCCGATTACGCTGGTTGTACCGAAACACGAAGGTCAACCACAGGTTACTGTCTATTACTTGGAAAAGGGATAGTGAGTTGGTGTTCTGAAAGACAATCATCAGTGTCACACTCGACAGCTGAATCAGAATACATAGCAGCATCACTCGCATCGAGAGAATAAATAGTCTTACCACCGTAAGACGAACTTTTCCGCACCGTTTTCATAGCGCTCAGCTTTTATTCAGACTTTGCCTAGGAAATTTATAAGAATTTTTAGAAAGAAAAACAACAGTACGTTCTTGTATTTTATGGAAAATTGTATTATGATTCCGAGAATCTTGATGTTGGGTATTCAAATGAAATGAAACGTCTGATTGTCTTTATTGTCGTCTGAATACTGAAACTTTATTCTACTCTCTTTCAAAAATGCAAAATAATCAAGTATTGAAAAAACTGAACTTTAATCGAAGAACTGCAAATTAGTCAAATATTTGGAGAATGAACTGTGATTTTAATTAAATCAAAAAATGTGGACGGAAATAATAAGCTATCTCGACAAAATGTTTAATAAGCAAGTTGAATGAACTAATTTTTTTTGTTTCTTTTTTGATGAAATTAGACAAAAGTTACCAAACCGAAATCAATTGGTCATTATTGCGATACAACACTTGAAAACAAGTATCAAAAAACTTAGACAAAAACAAAAATGTGTGTATTATTTATTGTGGAAACAGCTGTAGTTCATTTGTTTCGTATATTCTTTTGATGTGGTTTCGTAGTTCGCTGGTATTTTTTAAATTGTCTGTTTCGTGCTGATTGATTTTAAGATGGTATGTTGCAGGGTTGTGTCCCAAAATGATGGTTGTGGCGCATGCAATCGAGAAAATGCCACAGGAACATCCATCTGGTTGCAACGTTGCCGGTTCGATGAATTGATACTGTGCTCCGGGGTACAGGCGAGTGGGGATATTTCGTTGATATACGTCCAATCTTTGCCATGATTGCCCTCTCCGTGTAGACTGTCATAAATCTTCACACGATTTTCAGCATAGATATAGTGCTAGACATAGCTGGCCTGGCCGCTGTATATTATTTGCAGATCGTCTCGTTCGGCTAGAAGTCGTTTGTATCACTCTTGTTTTTGTCCATAGCAGACTGGATGCACGTTGAATGGTATGGTTCTGTTTGCGTTCACCAAATTTATAATGAACATATCGATTGACAAATCATTTAAGAATTCTGTTCCAACAATTTGATTTGTGATTGATTCTAGATCTGTATTCTTTGTAGTTTCACACAAGTCTTCGATTTTGTAGTAAAATTCATCCTCTTCCAACTCGGGAAAATCCACATTGTTGAGAATAAATGAGACTTCAGAGGCGCTTTCACATTCGCTATCAGAATCACTATTCAATACCGATTTGTACGAAAAAAGGTAGGTTAGCGGGTGCTAAGTTGTTCCTGCGCCCCCAAACAAAAGTTCGATTTTTTGAAGGTTTTTCATAGGCTAGGTATCCTAGGGTACATCTGGGGTGGCTGAAAATTTAATGGTTTTCAAGTCTAATGAAAGACAAACGTTTGGTACTTACATAATTTCATTTCCTATTCTGGTGTTTGAGCAATCGCGCTAATAAATTTTTGCATACAGCGTACAGCGTACAGCGTACAGCGCACAGCGTACAGGGTACGACACACCCTTATTAATATAGCAAAATAACCACTACATCGTGCTTTTTGGTGTCGAAAATGGATAGAAAAATGGTTTTTCGGGGTACCTAGGTTTTAGAGTGATTACAATACTTTTACTCACGACATGGGCGTGCGAAAAAGTAATTGATCTGGCTAAAACGCTTACTTGGGGAAGTGGATGAAACAACTGTTTCGAATTTGCCAACGCTTTTTGTGGACAACGAAAGTGCAGTCAAAATCATCAAGAATCCAGCAGTGCACAAGCGAACAAAGCACATTGAAGTCAAATATCATTCAATTAGAGAAAATGTTGCACAAAATGTATTTAGCGTAAAAGGAATTTGTACTGAAAAACAATTAGCTGATATTTTTACAAAACCTTTGCCAAAAATCAGATTCGAAAGTTTGCGTTCACAGTTAAATATCATTCCTGTTAAAAAAATGTATGAACCGCATACGCTAACGTATAGTATGCTA